GGCCTATTGATAAAAATAAAGTAAGCAGAGATCAATAAACACACTTGGTATGCTTTCCTCCAAAATGTGGCTTCTGGCTTTATTACATTTTGGAAATCTGAACATTTTGCGGCAAATATTCTGATGTTTCTACATCATCTCTAGCAATTTGATATTTTATGTGCGAACGTGTCATATGAAAAAAAAATTATGAAAAAAATTATGTATTTATAAAAAACATACCGTTTTATGAAGCTTTATGCATAAAGATATCATTAATAAATCATATTGCAGGAATTGATAAGTATATAAATTGTATAATATAACAAAATTAATTACATCGTCCATACGTCATTCGCATCACGTTATTCTGAAAAACAAAATGAAGAAATTAAAATATTATAATCAAGAGATTATAATCGGCAATAAAGATGAAATATCGGAAATTTTAATCGCTCACCTTGACTTTAGCGTAAGATAATGCAGTTCGACGAGACATATAACCTGGAAACAAGTGCGATAGTGACAATTGTCACTAAAATCGCCGTCTGTTGTAAAACGTGAGAACTGGACATTTCCAATACTATGCATCTATTGCATGTGTTGTGTACGTGTGATATATGTGTGCGCATGTGTTGTATACGTGTGAATACGTGTAGCACGATACTACTATGTATGCGTGGTCGATGATGATAATAATAATGATGACGGGGACGTTTCTTAAAAGAAATTTTTCAGATTTCAACTTTGGCATTTATATATCTCTGCTTACAAATTACGTAGAGCAGAAATAAAGACACTTTTATTATATAATTCGAACTCAATCTATCGATTAAGTCTAGTATAAACTCGATTGCTTCAGCCGTTATTGAGGATTAGAAATTTATAATAGACTCAAATGTCCGACTCGCGTTAAGATACACGGTGTCTCGGCTACGCCCTTAACTGGTCGAGACACTACCGTGTCTCTTGATTATAATTCGAATTCAATCTATCGATTAAGTCTAGTATAAACTCGATTGCTTCAGCCGTTATTGAGGATTAGAAATTATAATAGACTCAAATTTCCGACTCGGTTAAGATACACGGTGTCTCGGCTACGCCCTTAACTGGTCGCGAGACACTACCGTGTCTCTTGATGATTGAAATTCGGCGAATTAAAATTATGTATACCTGCGAAGTAAAATTACTTTGGCGCGCAAAGCGCGCGCTTGTGTTATCTAGTCTATTCATATTTAAAAAAGTCATTTAGATAGAGAAGTGTGTGTTTGGAGTCGATATGTATTGCCTGTATTGTTGCCCTCTTTCCGGGATGTCATTGATGGCCGATGACGTGTGTGTGTGGTGAGAGAGGAGAGGGGGAGAGAGAGAGAGAGAGAGAGAGAGGAGATGTGAATGTAATTATACTGAATTCGCATAATTCGGGGTGTGACAGTTTGGTGACATTTTGTACATTGTGACGAGGTTAATAAATAATAATGATAGAAGCATTGGCAATATTGATATCACGTTGTCCTCTTTTCAACATACGTGTATATATATTTGTGTATCTGTGTATTATCGGTATGTACTCCATCAATTTTATAGTAAGATTAATTAGATGAATTAATTAGAATTTATATTATGATTATTATATGTGGAGGAGAAGGGTTTCCTCACCGATTTGGCTAAAATTTTACATTTTTATTTATTTTGGTGGGTAAAACATTAATCTTTAAGTTAAAATTGTCGCTTTCAATTAGGAATAATGCTCTATACTATTATTTATTTAGTTATTAAGTGTTAAAGTTGACACTTGCGTGGTTAGGGTATCTGTCATATCTTTGCTTTAACAAAACACATAAATTATTATTTTCTTTGGTAAATTTGCAGTTTTGTTGTATTAAATATGCCGCAAAATATTGAGTTAAAAAGAAATAAAAATTTATGCTTTTTTAAAGCAGAGAATAATGACAGATATCTCAACTATGCGCAACTGTCAACGTGAAATACTTAATAATTTTCTTTTAAATTAATGAGAGCGATAATTTTAACTTATAGATTAATGTGTTATGTACTAAAATATATGAAATATAAAATTTTAAGGGTCGACAAGTCGGTCGGCCAAATCCGAATTGATGTTGAAGACCTCGCGCGGTGACAACGCGAAACTCCGATTTCAGTGTTGCCAACGCCGAGAAACCAATTCCGGGTTTTATGTAGTGGTGCATGTCTGTACATGTACATACACCATTGCATTGCTCACGCGGACGCACCGTAGAGAGACAAGGACCGATAATCACGTGTTCTCCTTGTTCCTCTACCGTGCCGATATACGCGAGATGCCGCCTGAAAATGCTTTCTGGCCTTCCGTAGCAGAAGGCAGTAGCGTAGCAAGGCTAATAAGTACCTACTTTTTGTAAATTTTATATATGCTTATGCACATATGTGCGTATAGATATATATATTATATAAAAGATATGTTGATTATTCTTGATTTCTTTTTGATATTGATGCTATTGTTAATCTGCTCCAAATACTTAACGTGAAAAAACGTTGAGTAATGTATAATCAATGCAAGAATGTTCAGGATATCATCCAGTATATAAATTAGAGTTCAAATATATCAATATCAATTTTTTATATAATATATATATATATATATATATATATATATATATATATATTATAAAAAAATTTATAAATATATATATATATTATAAAAAAAAATTTTCAATATATTAAAAAATTTTTAAATCGCCGAAATATATTTTTTATCATTTTTCTATATTCTATATATATATTATATATATTATATATATATATATATTAGAATATAGAAAAATGATAAAAAAAATATATTTCGGCGATTTAAAAATTTTTTATATATTGAAAATATTTTTACTACATACACTATATATAAGTGTAAATAATTCAGAAAATAAATTTAAAAATAAATTTAATAAAAAATCTACATATCCATATTTTTGAAAATAGGGGTTGGGGGGGAAGAAGGGGACTAAGAGGTCGAGGTGGAAAACAAGGAAGAAAAATTTTTCAGTTCCATTTTCATTAATATTATTACATAAAATAATATTAATTAAAACAAAATTAAAAAATTTTCTTCCTTACCTTGACTCGCATCGCCTTCTGGCTGACGTCATTATATTCATTTCGAATTTTCATGTGTATATAAAAATATACATTTGTATACAAGAAACTGAAAACCTTATTTTCTTTACCAAGTCCGTATAATTGCATGTTAATAAAAATTAATATGTATATGCATTACAATATATTCAATACAATATTCTCTTAATTTGAACGAAAATTATAATAACTTATGCGTAACATATATTTTTGGACTCCTAAATAAAAAATATATTATATTATTTGCAAAAAATAAGAAAAAATTTTTTATTCGAATAGTCTCAACTGCTCTTTTAGCTGAATGTTTAGAAACAATGAAAAAAATCGAGGATCTACGAAAAATTTAAGTACATTTCTAGGATTTTTTTATATGATATAAAAAAAATATATGGTATATAAATTGATTTTTTTTTTTTTATTAATTTTTAATTACACACACACACACAAATAGATTTTATTTTTTAAAATAGTTTTTATTTTGTTTTTTATTTACATATGCATACATATACAAAAAAATAAAAATAATATGATAGCTTTTTGCTGACATTATCTCTCAATATTTGCATCCCTGTGCTCACGTATTAGTGTTTGTATCTACATGGACGCTACATATGCGATGTAAGAGAGACAAAGATGGAATGATGCTCTCTCCTTGTCAAGCAGTCAGTATGTTACCACAGAAATTTCCCCTGCTTCTTATGAATCTAATGAGAATCTTATCGTCCAGATATTTCATAAAATAAGTGATAACTTCGTAATTTTTTTAAATATATTTTTATATAATAAAGCAGTCCTCTAAAAGGCCGGATATTACATTTTCGCTCTTAAAAATTTATAATAAATAAAATACAGACTCGCGGCTAACCCAACCTTACCCGTTCCTAGCTGCACATTCCCCCAAGTTTATTAAAAATTTTTATTTTATCTTTTTTTCATAAAATAGCTCTTTAGAGGAGTACAAATGAGCTTACTGATTAAGAATATCCTAAATTTAATAAGATTTATTCAATATTTTGGCTAATATCTGGAAAATTAAAATCTGTAATTCCCGGCCGCCCGATATGGGTCTCCACCATGTCGCCTGTCACAGATTAATAGACAGATCGCCAAAGGTCTGGATGAAGGAGAGACCAGCATTTCTCACTGATTTCAGCGCCATATCGTAGTAGTGGTCAATGCAGTAACTATTAATACGTTCCCAAGATAAGAGCGTCTCATGCTCATGAACTCGTCCGGCGGCATGTACGAGATTTTATCTTTTCGTAGCGTTCGCGTATTTCGGAAAGGACAGAATTTTATGATGTTATAAATAAATAAATAAATAAAAAATTAACTTGACCTATTATAGTTATTAAATCTTTTATTAATAAATGTTTTATTAATATTATCATCTAAGTCTAATAAGTCGTTTAATTAAAAATAAATGATACAAAGTTCGCTCGTATATTAAAAAACAAAAAGTGCTAAATGCAAGGCCAACTTATCGAGCTGAATATTCGAGTTGTTCAATCAAATGACATTTATTTCATATATAAATTATAAAGTTACAATCATTGAATATTAAAACTAACGCAAAAGTACAGTCATTCTAAAATAAACGTTTCAACCGCACGCGGTCTTCTTTAGTACATTGTTAAAATATAAAATCATAAAAAAAATTCATATAATGTCAAAAAAATAATTCTAGTTCTTCAGAGTCGAGAGTTTATGAGCAGTTAACGCGTGTTTCAATCCATCGTGTGTAGGAAAATGTCGAACCAATGTTCGCCTCGATATGATCTTATTGATCTTGATTTTATTCCAGATCTCGAAAAGTTTCGTCGTTAATAAGCGAGAAATTAGAACGTTCCGTAGGCGCTGCGATTAATAAAAATTAACGATTAACGTATGTCAAAATTACAGTATATATCCCCAACAATTAGAAATGTGCTTACCTAACATCGTCCTTCTTGACAATTTTCACCACGTCTTAAAAAAGTATTGAAGATGATACACGACAAAACCAACAATATAAAAAGACAGCCTCATTTTAAACTCTGCTTGATCGGAGAGTGTGAGTGTTTATATATGCTCTAATACTTATGTTTAAACCGTAATGTCCTATTTGTCTTATTATTATTTATTGTTCGCTAATTTATCCAAAATATCAAAATATGACTCGCTAAGTAACTCAGTATATAAATTTAAACAAGGATACGAAGAAGGACGATGTTAGGTAAGCACATTTCTAATTGTTGGGGATATATACTGTAATTTTGACATACGTTAATCGTTATTTTTATTAATCGCAGCGCCTACGGAACGTTCTAATTCTCGCTTATTAACGACAAAACTTTTCGAGATCTGAATAAAATCAAGATCAATAAGATCATATCGAGGCGAACATTGGTTTCGACATTTTCCTACACACGATGGATTGAAAACACGCGTTTAAAACATAGGTATTAGAGCATAT